GATTGGAGCCAGTGGTAAAATGTTTGCTGTCGTAACCAATCCCCCATGGCGCACAAAATTTTTAGGGCAAGTTTACTGGTGCATATATCCGGCGGGCAAATTACGAACTTTCCACTATGGGTACTGATAGTGCACATTGGTAGTTCAAATTTGCTATCAGTACTATGGGCAATTCCAGCTTTTAGTTTATGTGTGCAGGGATGATGGGAAGTAAGGTATCATATTGCTGATTATCAAACATTCCAACCGTCCCGGTTTACCCGGGACTGTCCCGGTTTGGACTATGTTGTCCCGGTGTCCCGGTTTTCTTCTTATTGTCCCGGTTTCTGTAGTATTTTAATAGTTGTATTCTTCAAATAAGGCTCATGTGACAAATATTAACGAAATTCGTTTGGTTCAATACATATTAATGAAATGGGAGCTTCTAGTTGCCCTAAACAATTGCCGAGTTTGTCGCCGATCGTTGTAATTCTCGTGACAATACGTTGTTTTGACAATTTAGCGTTCGCTTTCAATTCCTATTCATTTTGCCAGGGCTACATGAAGTAAAACAGCGTAACAGAAGCGGGCGCAATAATTGCGGGCTCTTGAATACGAGAGGATCAGGTTAGCAATATTTTCCAGGTTAGCACTATTTTCCATCCAGGAAACCGCCCTATCGATTTTCTAAAGTCTTTCTTTTTGGATTTTTGTTATTAATTCGGTTAGGGTTAGAGTTAGGGTTGCGGTTAGGGGTTAGAGTAAGGATAGGGTTTGGGTTCGTTACATTGCCACTTAACACCTCTTCCATCTTTCGAAAATGACGTAAGGACAGTTTGCTGGATGGAAAATAGTGCTAACCTATTTTCCATCCAGCAAACTGACCTGACGTCATTTTCGCAAGATAGAAGAGGTGTTAAATGGCTATGTAACTAACCCTAACCCAAACCCTACCCCTACTCTAATCCTAACCTCAACCCTAACTCTAACCCTAACGGAATTAATAAAAAAATCCAAAAAGAAACGACTTTACAAAATCGATAGGGCGGTTTGCTGGATAGAAAAAAGTGCTAACCAGAGGATCACAGTTCAAAAGACCAGTAGTAAAACCGAGTAAAACGAAACAATTTCGCCAGTACAGTACTTCAATAAAATTAAAACTTGTTGAGAAGATGTTATATTACTTATGGATTTCAACGTTAGTGTAATAAAACTAGTTTTTGTAGCATCCACTGTGAATTTATTGTTTAATTAATTCAAACTCAACTCAGCCAATTTTAACACTAACCCAAAATATAGACACCACATCAAATCATCAATGAGAAAAGCGCGGCATTTATTCGAGGGAGGCGTTTATTTAAGTAAAATGGGAAAATTGGGAAGTGTCCCGGTTTTGAGGACTCAAGGGTTGGAATGTCTGGATTATGCTGAAAAATTTCAATAAAAACTGCCGAAACATTTCAATATTTACAAGTTTAAGCTATCACTCCGTGTTTACACGGCCACCATTTTAATTGTAAACAAAGTCGTCAATATAACGATTATAACCATGACAGAATAAGGCAGTGGCGTAACGTTATATCAGGGGGCCCCCGGTTCAAAATTTTCGAAGGCCCCCCTAGTAGAAGTGCCAAAGGCACGAGTTGAGCAGCGCCATATATGCACGAATTTTCTAGGGGGTCCAGGGCATGCTCATCCGGAAAATTTTTGAATTTAGACTCTCTGAAATGCCATTTCCTGGACTTTGGGGAGAGATTTTACAGAATTCTGATGGTCATAAAACGACATTGTAACATATCAGAGGCCCTGACCAATGTTTTTGCTCTATCGCCTAAGCCTGGGGGCCCCCATTTAGGTTGGGGGCCCCCGGGTTCTCCCGGTCTGAGCCCATATAGTAGTTACGCCACTGGAATAAGGATATATTCCTAGTCTATGGTACCAGGACATGCTTTTGCCAAGTAGATATAAATGTAAACAAAGAAAATATACACACCTAAACAGACTTTACAAAAATTATGAAAGCAAGCCAAGCCTTCTTGGTTCGTGTAGAGTTTCCAAACACATGCAACATGTGAGTAGTTCGTTGATTTCATCAACAGGAACACTTTCTGATGAAGCACTTGCCATTTCAATTAAACCTTTCCTACTTCACAATTTAGACAACATATTCCTTTGTGTCTTCTTTCCAACGAAATGATCGCATATAAAAATCTTTGTGAAAGTGTCAGCATTCTTTGAAAATTGCGAAATTCGAAGAATTCGCTCTAGCCCGCGATCAGGCTGGGATGATTGTAAAATTGATGTCGCAAAATAAAATGGTCATTTCCAGTAAATTTAATACTCTGAAACCAAAAAAAGTACTCCATCTAATATTATAGTAAATATTTTGGGTTTTAAGATGATCTCATTTTCGGTTTTTATTTCACACTTCATTTAGTAACCCATTGAGCGGCAACGCTCCCAAATGATCCGATTTTATTGTTTTACCCTGTCTAACGCCAGATGATTTTACCCGTCGAGGTCTTGCGCATCAATAATGAAAATAATGGTTTGAATAATGCATGGGCCACTGATCTGTGTCTCAAAAAAGTTCAAATAAGAATTGTATTACGGGAGTTATATATCCAAATATAAGTCCTCAATACCCAAATTAAACTACGACCAGCAGCCCAGCATATTCACTGACCCTGTGTCACCCTCAGACCATACAATACATAAGCCTCCACCTCC